TATTATATTTTATACTATTTTTTTTTCGTGTTCATACATGGTTTATCTACAAAATAAAGGCTATTCCAAAAATTAGGAAACATCCCCATTAGTAAACTCGGGTGAGACGATATTGATAGCTCTTAATCATGGTAATGGAAATAATGTTCTATCAAGTTTACTATTAAATAACACTCACTCATCAATTTCGCTGGGATGTACTCTTAAATCTTCATCAGATTCAGGAAGTGTTTCCTCGGAAGATGCTTGTGAACTTAACTCCTTAGACTTTACTCTCATTTTTGAAGCAAACTTTGGAAATAGCCTTGTGGTTGATTTGGAGGAGGCCTTTAAGACTTTTGATGTTTTGCTTCTGATAGATGATTTGGAACGTATTTTTTTGTATTCTGATGTTCTGTGGGAGGTCTCGGTCCAATGTTCCGACTGCTCCTTCGGATATCCCTCGCTCAGTGATCGTTGGACATCGATTACAGAAAATGTTATTCGACTGCGAGGTGGAACTTGTTGCTGTGGAATGAATGGTAGTCTTACAATGTATGGAACTTTATAATGAGTTTAATATCATTCGACATTTTTATTTTTGAAAAACTGAAACCAGATAGAAATAAAGCTTACTTCCAAATTAGTCATTGATTTCTCAAAGTACTGTTCAGAAGATGTAGGCGTGACGTCTACTTCAGGTGGTTCATATTTTTTAGATTCCGATGGTAAATTAAAAATTTTCGTTATTCTATGGAATATTACTGGATCCAGTAAATCGCGAACCACAGTGTATTGCGACTCCCAGAACTAAAATTTTAAATGGAAGTAAAGGGTAATAACAATTAATGACATAACATTGAAAAAAAAAATAATGACGCGTACATTGCAACCATAGATTTGAACTATGATAACATTAACATAAATATTTTGTACTAACATTTTTCGGAGAAAATAAGATAGGTGGGAATAGATTTTTGCATAAGTATTTTTGTAATGGTAGATTTCTAGGAAAGGTTACTAGGGAGAAAACATTTTTTTTATTCAATTTCTTATAGGTAATTCATTCACCTCGACTCACTTATTACAACTTCCTTATAAATTGACTCTATGCCATAAAATGACGCAATAATTTCCTGTAGATATTATAAACTAAGTCATAGTATTCATCACATGTCAATAAAAACTAATGCGATTCCTAGTAGCCTAGAATCTGATTAATTTCCGTTTACTGAATTCTTTTGCCAATCATACACTTTATTGACATAGAAAACTGCATTTCTATTTTCGTCAACATCTTCGTACCTATTTCTCTTCCTTCTGATGCTATTTTTTCTTATAACTAAGTGTCTTAATGCTGCACGCTAAGTAACGATATTGGTAACTAATGCAGTCCCCTGAAAGACTCATGAAAGACTTCTCTGAAGAAGTAATTTTGAATACTGTTTGGTTTAAAGTTTATACAAACCATATTACCTGTTCATCTTTGTAAGATGCTTCTAAAGTTCGTATCACATGCTTCCAATGCATTTTGACAGATGCTTCATTTTGCTCATACCTTGATGGCTTTATAGCTTTTAATATTTTAGGCTTATCCCAGTTTTTGACTAGAGGTCTTTTACCACAGGACATTGTGTAGTACCATGCAAGACACGTGTTTAATGTATATTTATGAATTCTTTGATAACACTATATAAATATTATATAAATTGCTTTTTGTCAAAAAATGTCACTCTTACTTCTTTCAAATTGATTGTTACTATTTTTTTTTGTAAAAAAAGGTGTTAATCCACTTTAAAAACAGCAACAAAGTCTATTATAGGGGATAATCATGAAAACTAAATAAAAAATGTATAGTTCACTTTCAGTGATACTTTCTTGTCAGTTTATAATGGAGGATGTTTATTTTTACAAGAGACAAGTTATGTTTTTATAAGTATATTGAAAGTAATTAATAGATGCCATCTATTTAGCGTATCGGCAACTGTGATTTAACATTCGGTAATCATGCAGTATTCTCGTCTCATGGCAAGGTTAAGAGCGGAGTTAGTGTTGGAAACGGAACATAGATGGCGCTTTAGCTACTTTTGTTTCAGCATTTCAGTCACGAGAAAAACAAATTTAACCTGATATTAAAACATTTTATTATATCATAATCATACGAATGAAAAATCAGTTTTAACATCTAATTGGTATCGGTTAGCTGTGACAGCCTTCGCCGTAAGTGGCCAATGGGCGCTGGAGTGTTGTTTTGTGTGGTAGGAGATGCGGGATGCTGCAACTCCATGGTGAGCCTGGCATTGAGCACGCTTGGATCAAACATACCCAGACTGTTCAAGTAAGGCGCTCTTCTGTGCTCCGGATGTTGGATCATCCAACGACAGTATTCTCTTACACTCCTGTAAAAAAAAAAGAGATTCAATCTTAAGTTTAAAGCTTTAGTATTCCTCTTTCTGCCTGTGCTGGATTGTTACGTTTATTTACGTTTGTTGATAATTTTACCTTATATTTGTGATTCCTTCCCACACAGTTTTTAATGAGACGAGATCTCTTGGAACATGCTTAGCAGACCGCCACTGGTTCTTTGTGTCATTTTGCGGCGTACGCCACTGTTCCCTTTTGGGAAGACTTCGCCCGAAAGCTGTTAGTCGATCTGGACGCTTTTCTATTTTAATATCTTTAGTTATTTCCCGGGCTAAGGCGGCATTGCGGGATAACTGAAAGGCATTTAGATACAAAACCATAATACATTTACCCATCGGCCAAAAGGTTATACGTCTTATGGGGCAAAAATGAAACTTCTTCAAAAGAGCTAATTTATGTTTTTCGGACTCCTTCGGCTAAAAAATTGCCTGCGTTAATTCAATTTTAGAAAACATTAATTACAAACCTCTATATTTCCTGTAACTTCCGCAATTTTATTGATTACAGTCGGCATTTCTTTTGGTACAACTTGAAGACTACGTGCTACGTGTGTGTCAAACTCTACCTACAAAACATAAAATAATAAAATTAACAATAATGTTAATCTTAATTTACTATACGCATTATAGACGTATACTTACTTGAAACAATTCTTTTATACACTTAGGCGTGAAGAGCTGTGATTGCTGGTCTCCGCCTAAGTCCTTCATATACTCGCAAAAATCCTGTGTAATCTGTAACAAATATTTTTTTTAAACTTTGAATGTTCAATTATAATAAAATATTTTTAATTATGATCAGTATCAAGTTACCCTTTCCGTAAGATCGTTAGCGCGTTTAATAAGACTCTTTTCATCTTCTCTCTCTGGTTGAAGAAATCTGGTTTTCCAAGTTATTTGCTCTCGTTCGGGCTTGTCTAAAAATTGACGATGTATATTTATTCCTTTTGGTTCATCGTCACTGTAAAATCGAAATAAAAGTACTTGTTTGATGGAAAGAATTTGGATACGATACACGCCGTTAACTTTTATTAATTTTACCTGCTAGAAATTTCGACATCGGTATCTGATTCTAATTCTCGTTCAATAACGATTGCTTTTCTTTTCGAAAATAATGGCTCCCTTCTTATTTTTGAGGTCGTTTGTTCTGTAAATGATTCGAGATATATACTACTTCAGAGTAAAAAGAAGCTTTGTCATGATCTGAAGTCTTACCCGTTTTGGCTGCAATCTTGTCATTTGATTGTTGAACCATATCATAATCCAGAATCTCATAAACTCTTTCACACAAGTCACTTGACAATTCTCTTGATAAGTCTTTTAATTCGTAAGCGTCCAGCTAAAGCAGTGAAATTTACAACGTTAAATTCATCAAGGAAGTTAGTTTGTAATATTTCAAATGCTGTAAGAAACTTACCTCTTCTTTGTCTTTATCCAACTGTGCTATAACATTTTTCCAATACATCTTATTGCGTCTTATAGCTTCCGATTTTTCATATTTAGAACATTTTACATTAATTTTACTTGAATTCATTATCTCTTTTTATTATTATCTTTGTGTATAATTAGAAAAATAGCGCATAACAAATTAAAAACTTTGTAAATAGTAGTTAAGGAAACTTATAAACTTCCAGTTACGAAAAACTGGTAGTATATGTATTGATTTATTAAAATCAACAGTTACCCAGGAAACTGTTGTTACGACATGTATAATCGTGCAATTATTTAAAACTAGGTGGTTGCGTTAAAACTTGTAAACTGTTTTTTTTCTTGTTTTTGTTCCACAAAAGTCAGAAAAATGACAATACTTTTCGGACAAAATATGTAATGCTCGAAGATGCTTTTAACATAGTATTTTTTAAATCCGCACAGACGGAGTCGCGGGCGAAAGCTTGTTTTGAAAAAAAAAATTGAATTGGTTTTATAGTTTATTGTTGACATGTTAGTACAATACCAACAATTAATGATTTATCAAAATTATACATAAGTTTCCAAATCTATACCATGTTCCGCGAATATTTTTTTCAGTTTTGGATACCTTTTTGCTATTTCTTTCAACATTTTCTGTCGCTTTATGCAAGTATCGCCCACAGATTTTTGAAAGAAATCGCTCACTGTTTCATTACCAGTGCTCGCTTTTAACATATTATGTAAACAAGGGCATGGAGGATCATACCTTACATCTTCGTCACTGGAACACTGTGTCTCAATGTTGTGAAACTTTTCTTTGGTTTCCGCAAATGGCAATTCACTATTAACTATATCTTTTGCGTCTAACAATGTTTCTTTTCCTTCTTTCTTATATGGAGTACCAAATATTGCTTCCACTCTTCTAAAATTTTCTTCCGTGAAATCAAAGTAGGAATTTAAATAAGGGAAATAGTTTGTTAATAAAGAACCAGTACATTTTTGAACCGGACAATCGGGAAGCCGGTGAAAATCTTCGAACAAAAATGATTCATCCGAGCTCTCGCTAGTACTTGACTTTACAGATTGCACTTTGCTAGTCGTTGAGGACATTACTGGTTGTGGTTCTGGTTGTTCGCGACATTTACATCGTTGTGAATCTAAAAACTTTTTAATCTCTTCAAACCCGTGACATTTTGCGTAAATAAATTGCCTTTGTAACCTGAAATACGGTAGATCTACATCTAAAGGTATCGTTTCCCTGCTGCCATAAACTATTGGAGGTGTGTCAGAAGTGTCTCCTTCAATAACAAATGGTTCCTTTGTACATATTTCAACACTAGGACCTGATTGTTCAAATTTAAAAACATTACTTTCCTCCACTAAAATTGAGCTGTTGGATTTATCAGATTCCTTCACATCCTCAAGCTGTAATTGTACCAGTTTTTCTAACTGAAGCAAAAATGTTGTCTGCTCTGGCAAAAGCTTAAGAGCAAAACTAATAAATTTTAAGAACAATTGTAAAACTTTCTTTATTTTTCCTTCCCAATCTTTGTTAATATCTAAAATACAGACATCTTTTTCTTTAAGAGACTGCAATAAATCCGTTTTTTGTTTGATTTTTTCAACAACTTTATTTATTTCTGCGGTATGATACTTTTCTATGATGATATTTTTAATTTTACATTTTTTTCTTTCCGTGCACAGAACATATATCGAACTAGTCAGTCTTTCACATATAATTTGCTTATAAAACATCTCAATGGCATTGTTTCGTTTTCTGAGTGCATAATTTGTTAGTTGATTTGACTTTTCATGTTCATTTCTTAGTAGAAGAGCATAATATCGCTTTATTTTTTTAATTTCCGTTAAATATTTTTTATTTAAGGTATCTTCTAATTTTTTTCTTTCTTTGCGCAATTTCAAATATATTTGATCGTTTAAGTAGCTAATGATTTTTGCATACACGCTAGTTAAAACAGTCTCTACTTCATTTTTTACGTGCTCTTCCAATTCCTTAAGCGTATTTTCATAAAAAATGTACATTTCTTTAGTCATTAGAGCACTTTTTGTCTTGAAGATGTTTTGATATTTTATTTTCACCCTTTTATAAATTTCTTCTGATTCGTTCATTAGAACGAATTTCCAACAGTCGTCGTTTTCACGCAATAACTTTTTTAGGGAAAGAAGAAACTCCTCATATTCTTTCTGTAATACATCATCCCCAATATGTATAATGCCTTCATGTGTTTTACTTTTAATAATCTTTGAAGTAAATGGTGGTTGCATTTGTATTTTTCCGATAAGCAGATCGCTTGGAGATGTCCATATTTCTTCAGCAGAATCGCTTTGCTTAGGGACTTTGACCTTTTGTTCGGTTTTTTCAACGCGTGGTTTCACTTTTTTGTCATATTTAATATAAATATCTGCATAGGTACTACCAATAATATCAATACCACTGGTAGTGTTAATGATGTCGTACTCCATGGTGAAATTAAAATTAAGTAATTACTAAATAACGTTATAAGTATTAATCCAAAAAACGCAGTAAAAACGGTAAAGAAATGGTTGTCATCCTGAAAAAATTTAAAGGTTGAAAGGAGGAAAATTTCAGTAAGGAGGTATTAATAAAATTACATAATTTGCAAAAAGTATTTATGTCCTTAATACCATGTTACTGCAAGCTTCAACAAAGTCTCCTAAAGTTATGCTGGTACGTAGTATCAACGAAATTCAAATTGCTTTATTTCCTCAATGAGCTGCCGTTGCTCTCAGTGGCAATTGGAATAATAGCATCAACTAAATTTCGCCCTGAGGAAATGAACTAATTTATTTTGTACACTTACTCTAAATCTTAAATGAGAATATCTTTGCATTTAGTTTGCAGATCATCCTTAGTTATTACAGTATACTCGTGTTCTTAAATGTATGGGTGTAATTTGAAATGGTAAAATTACATTACGTTTTTTAAAATCTGTTCAGTATGTAACTTAAAATAATAAATAATAGGACGAGAAAGAGCTTTTTAATTGAATAAACTTAACTGGGATGTTAAAAACCAGATTTTTATAAAACTTTTATTACTTATACAATCAAATAGCAAAAAACAACTCTTAATTTACTTCATACATCTAAGTATTTACACATTATTTAATATTTTCTGCTTCTTCAAATGTGTCGGGAATTTTTCTACCCTGTGTTTCTGGTTGGGTCAGAATTAGAAAAGCTGTCATTACAGCCATGCCGCCGAATAAAACTGAGGGTATACCTGACCAGTACACCATGAGGGGTGGTGTTAGAGGCGCAACAATTGAACCAATCCTACCCATCATCGAAGAAAAACCCAAAAATGAGTGTCGATGTCTCGTAGGATATAACTCAGTAGTAAATAAATATAGTGATGTGAATACTACACCTGTGCAATATTTACCCAATAGATATAAAAATAGTGATATACCATACAATGATTTTGGAGTGAAGGCAAAAGCAAAGCAGCAAATGCCACATAACAGATAGCCACTGAATAGTGTTGCTTTACGACCAACTCTGTCTAAAACGAGCACTGCTGTCCAGTAGCCTGGAATTTCAATAAGACTTACTAAAATGTAGTTTAAATACATATTTCCTGATAAATTAACAGCGTTAATTGAAAGACCGTAATAAATAAAAGTAGTTGTAATCCAATATATCGGTGTCGTGCAACAACGCTGCAACATTACGCGTGATTTTAAAACCCGATACAACAAGTTTGTTTCACCAGTATTATTTTGATTTTGTTTAGGTATGGCTGTTAAAAGGAAATTTAAATGTGATTCTTGTATTTCTTTTTTATTTAACTTGGCTGCACGTAACAATGTAGCTTTTGCTTCATCCGTTTTGTTTTTACTCAGCAGCCACCTGTGACTCTCCATAAGTATCCAGTAATAAGATATGAGAATAAACACAGGCGCAAATAAAACTAAAGATAATGTTCGCCATTCTAACACAGCCGATGCTATCAATCCTAACAAAGCTTGACCGAGAGCGAACGTCGATGACATTGTTGCACTAGTATAAATCCTGAATCTCGGGCCAACAATTTCTGTGGCTAATATGTAACCGGCGCTGTATAAACCTCCTCCGATAGCTGTATGCATAAATTGCAGCGTCGCATACATTGCGTAATTTATTGAAAAAGCTCGAACACAGCCAACCAGAGCTACATTAAATCCGAAAAATACTACCGACATTCTTCTTCCAAAAACATCAGATATGAAACCTGCTAAAGGAAGAGCAATCATCGCACCCATACTATTTAATGTACCGGCGAGAGCACGGAGCCATTCTTGACATTCTAATCCAAAATCATACACAGCTGTATTTGTTCTCTCGTAAACGTAACTCTCGCAGCTAATAATATTATTTCTATCGAATAGATTTGCTGGACAAGTGCCGTTTAAAATTGAGTCAGGAATATATGTTGTGTTCGCGTATCTGGAACAATCATCGAAACCATTTTCAGTCTCCGGTATAGCATTTAGAATCCAGTTAGGTGAGAATTCCTGTTGCCCGTTGTCGCATATTGGTACTGCACATCTATGAGGAAGCCTGCCGGCTGTGAATATGTAGTCCCCTGCCATAAACCCAGAGAATATAGCTGGTAACATAACCAATAAAATATTTCTAAATTGGTATAGTCCGAATTCACCCAACTCTTGGTTGAGGGCTCTTTCGAATTCGGTTTTTTGTTCATTTTCTTCTGGTTTTTCCATTTTTCGAATGCTTAATGGCAGTTAATGGGAATGATGTGCTGTGAGCGCCTTGACATACAGCACTAGAATTATTCTTCAGTCAATTACAGATTGGATACAACTGGAAAGAAAAAAAAAATAAAAAACATAAATAAAAACTTAAGATGGATTTTACTTAGATGTCAATAATCAAAACTTGTTTTATTTTTATTTCATTATCGTACTAAAACATTTTACATAGAATTTAAAACTAATTTCATAGTTCTGTAGACAATGTACGTTTATCAAAACTATGTGTATAAAAAAAATAATTACCCATATCATTATGACTACGAGTATTTTGTTCACTTCGAACTAAAAACTATTTTAACACGACCACTTTTTAACTTTGCATATTACTTTATTAATAAAATATCGCATATTGGTATACTAAACTTTTATATTTGTATTTAAAAATCGTAGAATTAAATTCGTTTCGAAGGTGTCTGTACACGCTCATATAAAGACTATCTAAAGACACGCGTGAGGTAGATCTTTCCACTAGATGTGGTTATCTCGGTATGCAACATTTTAGTCACTGATACTTGTCTTTATAAATATTTAGCTTATCGTAATAATCTCTTATAACATTTAGGGCAATTAATTCAGAAGAAAATACGAAATTACGATTCTGTTGTATTATCATACAAGGAACATATCTATAAAACATATTTTATTTAGTAATAGTACGATGTGAGAATGGATATTATCTTTTCATGACATTATTTCTATTTTAAACTGTAAGAAAACCGCAGGGTTCAAAGTATAATTGTAGATCATTCGATTTTTATCTGCAGTGATAAGAGATAACAGATACAAATCCTTTGTATTGTTATCACTTACTTCTGTGTTATTGCGCTAATATTAAATTACACTGTTGGTTTGTTACATTTGTTTTATAAGATTATAAAAAAACGATCAAGAAAATAAGTTTGCGTCCAAAATAATTGTAGAATGGGTGTCACTTGTTACCTTCTGTTAATTTGAATCTTGTAAAGGATGAGTCATTTTCAATTTACCTTAACTGAAATATTATTTTTAATTCGAATTATTTTATAACTGTATTTTGCCTGTGATTGGCGTTTGGCGAAATTAAAAAAAATGTGTATATAAAAATTATGTCATTACGGAGATATATAACAAGAAATCCATCCATCCAAACTTTGGTTTTGTAAGTAAAATATTAAAAATCGTCTGAGTATTTTAATCGTTGATGACTATCATGAAAACAATTTAATCTAAGTTTCCTGTAATTAAAATAATCCTTATTGCGTTATAACGGTCGTGACAAAACAATTGTATTATTAGCTAGAAATGTCTGTTGGTACAACCAAATAAGTCTCGATTTCACCAATTATGTGTATGTGATTGTCGTGATGTTATTAAATATAGTGTTAATTAAACAAAAAAAAATACGGAATTAAAAATTTAATTGTTATTTTAAATATCATATGAGTATTTAAGCGCCATCTGTGAATCTGTTTCCACACCATCTTTTAATATCAAAGGTGTTTAATGAAATTACCGATAGATGACCTGAAACCGTTTGTTAGGATATTTTGTTAGGATATTTCCGAATTAACGATTTCTAACCATTTTAATCTTTCATTTAACATGTTTTACAAAAGTTCTGACTTAGCGTAACTCTTACAGTTTAATTTTCCGCGGAAATTGTTAAATGAAATAACTGGTATAGGATAGGTAACGTTGTAAGGTACTGTTTAAAAAGTTGGTTTCTACATACTTTCGGACTTTAATTTTGTGAATTATACGAAGAAACTTGTTTAAAAATATTAGATTTGGACAGGAGTTCATTTTATTACGTAATATAATATTGTTAAAGAAATTATTATAGGTAAGTTCCTTACTAATCTGACCACAGAAAGCCAAAGGAGAGTTTTAGTTTAAAGTATCAAAGCTTTTGCATTGTAATGCCTAAGTTTACAAATATGACGCTTGGCGTTTCATAATATTAGGTTAAGCGTCAGTTCTGGTGCTGTCAAAACTGCTCGGCTTGTGTAAATTCAACTGTGTTTATGCACGGGTTCAGAGTTTATTTAAGATTGAATGGCAAGAATAATTCGTATTTAAATAAATAAAATGTTTGAATAAAATATCTTAAAGAGAAGATTAACGAACAAAAGTATTTTATAGATAGAGTTCAAAATACGGAACCGATTTAATATTATGGTACTTTACCCATAGCATTCTGTTTTATTCACTTTATTTTATTTGAAATCAAGTTTGATTTTCTTTTGTTTTTTCTGTTTTTGAGAATTGTTAATTGGTCACTTACGGATATACTCAGGGTAGTTTAGTATGAGTACTGTGTACCGAATGTTTTAATTACCATCACACGACTGATCCAAAAAGTTTTTAATAATGTTTGAATTTTTACCCTATGGTATATTCTGATAATACTGATTTAAATGAACTGTGGAATACGCCGATTAAATCAATCGATGTCTAAAATAACAAATTGCAGTAAAAGGAATATAAAGTTAAAAGTGCATCGTGTTTGTATTACGTTTGCGAAGTTAGAATTCAATGTAGTACCTACAGGAATTCAGCATTTGTCCGGCGCGACTCAGACTTACAAACAGAATTTAAAATTTATTTATACCTCAGTCCGAGAGCAGGTCTATACTCTAATAAGCTTATTTGTTTAAGAAAAACAAATTGATTTTGTACTATTTTGCAAATAAAAAAGTCAAAATTTTATAGAAGAAAAGTAACAAAATATTTTATTACTATTAAGTTATTGGTAGAAAGCGATGTACATTATAAAGAAATGTAATAATTTATCATAAAACCTTTTCTAAATAGACTTTTTATCTGCTTGTGACACATTTGCTCGCTTATTTTCCCAGCAACTTGTCCCGCGTAAGCATGAAATATTACATCAAGTGACAACACTATTCGGTGCTAAGGTTTACTCTGATATTTTATTCACACTTCCGATACAAGTTATTTTACTGTACATTGGTATAAATTTATACTTAACTGCCGCACTCAGAGTCGCATACTGAGTGACCATTAAAAATTCCTTGCATTAAGTGAAAGGAACCTATTTAATAAAACGCATAACACGTTGCCTAAGATTTTATTTTGCGGCCAGCAATTATCGGGAAGTTGAAATTCTGCTTTAACTTATAAGATAAATGTGCAAACAAAAGAAGCCATAAATGTAAAAGAGGCTAAGCCGAGAAGGATATATTTTTTGTATTATCGTGCTTTAGCACATTACGTTTCACTCGTCCTTTCACTTTCCCTATTATTTTATTTTAAAAGTAATAAAATAAGAATAAAGAACAGTAAAAAATATTGGTAATTAAAACTTAAGGATTCAATTTAAACGAAGGCATGAAGATCACAAATTGTTCGTTGTACCTTCGCGGTTAGTCACTAAACTATACTCATTTGTTCTTGTTTGTTCTCCTGTATTTGTTTATGTGAGTTTTAACATAGTACAACCACGAAAAGGAGAGTAATCTCAGAACGCATTCTTCATGACATTGCTTGAATTTTTTCCAAAGTAACTAGTAAAATTTTGTTCTCAAGTCTGCTCTAGGGTAAGTACATTAACTCTAGTACTTATGTAAACAGCAGCTAATGCAATACATTTAATTGTGTTCTTCAAGCTTCAATCGATAATGAGGTGGTGTTTATTGAATAATTAAATATTATGTGTTTATTTACTTTGATATTTTAAGTTTCGTAGGGAATTTACTGCCATGATAATTTTTTTTAGGATAACTTTTTACAAAAATCCATTAACGTATACTCTGTAACTTTTGACTGTACTGTACATTTATACGAAATACACCGTTACCTAAGAATTATGGACGGGTATATTGGGCGGTAAGGTAAATTTACACATGTCTCGTAACAGCCTAAGTCGTCAGCGCTGTACGACTCCTCACGCCTGTCTTAATGTCAAAATACACCGCACACTATTATAAATTCGCGAATACATACATCGAGACGGTTTCACGACGGTTTATAAGAGATACTAAATAACCTCAATCCATTTTACGAATTAATTTCAGTGTTAACTTAATAAAGTCGTCAAAACATGTAGGTGAAATCTCAAATTTATCGGACGTCATAGTTTTATGAAAATTATGGGTAGAAATACATCACTAATGGTGACCTTTCTAATCAGGAAATCTGATGAGGGAAGGTCAAACGCTTTGTATCTCAGCCTAACAGTAGTAGTAATAGATTGTCCACACATTTAAAAGTCCACTAATGTTGACATATTACCTACCTGTACGTTACTGTTTTAAATTATTTAAGTTACGGTGATAAAAAATGTTTTACTCAAATCGTAGAAAGAAAATTAATAGCAGTTTTAGTAGAGTTAAAAGTAGACGAAGTATAACAAAAGAACATCAAAAATTAGCTGAAACAAAAGGCAATAAATTGTTACCAGGGTATAGCGCACCGCGGTGCGACGACAACAGGGGAATTACAATGTGTCAGGCTTTGCCAGGTGCTACAGAGAATTGGTTCACGCGGCGTCAATCATTCCCACTGAGATTGATAGCGGATTCACACTATTCAATTTTCAAAGTGCTTCCAACGTATTTCACGAATCATTTTGCCTTAACATCAAAACAAATTTACGTAAAATCAAATTAAAACTCAATGCATTTGTAAAATTTTAACGAAACGTAACTTGAATCTTGAATTAACAAAATTCATGTTGTTTACGGATATTGATTACGCGGATTGTATACTTAACTTTTTAGTGCAATATTGTAGTAGAACAGTTTAGAATAAAGGCAATGTTTGACACAATTTAGTGAGATTAATAAAGTGAAGGGTATATTTGGCGTTAAGGTAAATTTCCAGAAGTCCCGTAACAAGGCATTATCTCGTCACATATCTCGTCGCGAGTCGAGGTAATGTGCTCACGTGACTTATACCTCGCATTCCTTACTTCATTATTAAAATACTGTAAACTTAGAAATTCAAATTAACTTTGAAAGACGTATCTATATTTAAACTATTATTATAAAGAGGAAAGTTTTGTATTTGTGGATTTTTTTACGTATTGAAATAACTACTGGACCGAATTATTTCACCATTAAAGAGCTACGTTAACAGAGAGTAACTTAGGCTACGTTTTTTTACTTTTTTTTAATTACACGTTGACGTAATTACAAGCAGCAGATAGTTATAAAATATAATTATTTTATATATAATCTACACTATTATACCAAAGCGTAAACACACACTTCTTTGTTGCCTAAGATGTCAGCAATTACAGAATAATTTTGAATAATTCTTTTTTAACAATACGCCCTACACTTACGTCATGCTTTAACCCTAATGTGGGAAAGAGACCATAAGTTGCTGCCAACATCAAGGAAGCAATTGTCATTTGTGCATTTGAATTTTGACATTTCATGCGGATGAAGCCGCACTGGAACAGCTAGCTTTTTAATAAAACAATTGTTTCATCAATATTACATCAAAACTATGCAGTAAGATGTTAT